CCGGTCTATTATGCAGCAGGCTGAACGAGTGGATACCATAGAAGATGCAACTACAATCGCCGCTAAAGTCCGTGGAATAGTTTTTAAAGCGTCCAAGTGCGAAACCTTTAATTGGACCGTGTACAGCTTTAACGGCAAGAGACAATACCCTTGAAGAGGTAGGTAAAGTCCACTACACAGAGGGTCCCATTTGACAAATGAGCCGGTCAACATTTTCTAAAAAAGGTTTCAGCATTCCAAGTTGTTTTCAGTAGTAGCAAGAAAGGCATCCGAATAGGCAGCTATGAAAGTCCGACTAGCAAATACACTATTAGCGACCTAAGTCCTTTTTCTTTATCGCCTCTGCCTTTTTTTCACAAAACGCAAGGGTGATCAGTCTACCTTCTCCAACTTCTGATTGACAGTTCGACTATCGCTCTCGATTATGCCCACCAGGAGCTTCAGTAAGTTGAAGGCGGGCGCGGTGACTCCCGCGGGATTATAGTGAAAGTAGACTTCCGGAGAATCTACCTCACTCTCTCAACATTCCCACACTTGTATCCGATTCCAAGACAATAGTCGAGAAGACTGGAGATGGGGGAGGGCGCAGGCGATGTGCGCAAACAAATGCGCTACAACAACATCACTTTGCTAGGTAGGCTCCTGCGTGTGCGGGAGCGCCATAAAGGCAATTGCAGCCTGACTCTCAGTCCGCAGTAAGTCATCCTACATAACAAGACACACTGGGCTGACTGTGGTGTCAGAGTTATTTCGTCAGTTGGCAACCCCTAAGCCGCGACTTTTAGCGCACCGAGATAGCTTCAAGCGTATCAGACGACTTATAGTGAGGAAAGAAATGCTCTGAGGCTCGACCTAAATTTCTCCCCCAGCGCGGGCAACAGGCCACCGCTTAGCTGATCGGTCGCCTTAGGTGTGATGGGCGGGGACATGAGATATAAAGGTATACACACGCACAGCGCAGACCTATCAGGTGGGTCATGGACACTCCATCGAACCGAATTTCCTCAGTACCTCGTCATCTGGTATTATCTGCCGCTGTAGACCGGACGTCCTTTCATGCGGAAGTGGCCTAACAAACTTCGAATAAGGTGGCAGTTGTCCCGAACAGGCAATCCCTACTAGGTCACAAAGCTAGCACGCTGGTGATTACAGCGGAGTATCAGCAGAAGTTTTTTGCTTCCTTGTACCCCTCTCAACAAGTTATGCAATTCATCGATGTCTGCGACCAGAAGCACGAATATGTACATTCTTATTGCGCAAGTGGTCCACGGATCGGGCCTGACTGATGGGTCATAAGCACCTAAAAAGCCGAAGTTCATCGGTGCTTCATGATGTGGAGCAGGTACGGAACGTTGACCACGGTGTGAAGAAAGTGGGTCTGCGTGCTGGTTCTCCAACCCTTTGCAAAACTGGCTAGGCCCATTTCATGCCTCAAAAGAGGACAAGTGACACACGCTGTATGCATCTATGCTGCACAAGGCTTGCCAAGTATAGCACCTATCTGCAAGTAGGATTCTAAATATGAACAAGTACTAGAAACTGAGCACCCGCCACCTCCACAGAGAGCGACTTTCGGAAAGTGCGAGGATGACTTGTTGGTTCGTGTGCCTAGAGACTGTACTCTTTCCTAAGACTTTGCAAGACATCTACCGATAAACAGAAGGCTGTCAGCAAGTTGCTACACGCAGACCTCCCTCCCACCCTCCTTAAACGGGTTGTGTCGGGTCTCCGCACGCATGTGCATGCGCTACTAACTGCTAAGTAGACCTTTAGAGTGCGTCATCATTTGCGCCCAATCTCATTACCAACTGACTGGCAGGCTTGGACAATGGACTGGCGTACAGGAGAGAAGATAGATGTTCAGGAAGAATTCACCCTCATGGCAATTATCAGATTTCTGTCATGGCACGAAAGACTGCCAAAAGGTGCCATCACTTGGTTCTACTCAGGACTGAAATTTAAGTTAGTGACTTTTTCACAACGCTTTCACGTTTGGGATCAGAGACCTCCTAAACGGGGTCTGGTGCAAGTAGATTCGGAGTCCAGTTTGTGTGTTGCACGCGTAGAGAGCTAGGTGACTTTGTCAGGCACCACGCCTACGCCCAACTTTTGTGTTTGAGTGTGACGAGAGAGAGGGAGAGAGAGAGAGAGAAAGAGAAGTAGACGCATCGGAAAACCGCTGTACTATCAACGGTTCCATATACAAGTTACTGATGGGTCTACCTCGTGGGTGAGTGATGGGCCTGATTGTTGGTAACGCTCCCATCCTCCCTAAACGGACTAACTGGACCAGCACGGGAACTAGATTAGGGCAAAGAATGCGTTATAGGGGCTGCGCTCCCCCAACAAATGTCGAACATGGGGGCGTGGTGGCAGGCATAGTTGAAGGATCAGACCGTGCCAGACTCACGCGCCCGACCCCGCCTCCGGTCTTATTGATGCTACCCTGAAACTGGCATAGGTGGGGAAGGAAGGAGAGAATGCGTTAGATTTAACACAAGTTTGCCATCACTTAGAACGTA